TCTGCAGCTCAATGGCAGTGAAAGCACGTGTATGCAGGTCGAAGGCAGTTTAGAAGTGCGTGCGATGGAAGGGGGCAGTACATAAGGTTAAGAAGGAAACGGGTTCACTCGCCTCCTGCAAAACATGCAGGTAGTGAGTCAATATTTGCCTGTTAGTTTAGACTTTTTTTGTTTGTTTTGTTGTACAGAGTTGTAAACTGTGTCCTGCAGTAATATTGAATTATAAACTGCCATTGAGCTGCAGACACGTGCTTTCTGTTGGTGCCTTTTTAGTTTTCATCAAATATTTTTGATTTGCATGACTGCCCAGATAGCCAAGTGACAGTTTCGCTGTTGCTCTCTTTTCTATAGGCTAGAAACAAATCTTACTTTATAAAACTCTCAGTAACTTAATAGGACCTCACTAATATCAAAAGATAACTGAAGCCATTTGAGTGTAATGATATTGATACGGTATAGCCCAAAAGGGGTGTATAATATTCATGTGATTCTATTTTTAAAACTTTTTTTTAGTGCAGTGGGAGGTTACGAGGATGAGAGTGAGCAGAAAGAAAGAGGAGTGGTAGGTGTAGGTCTAATCACTTCTTAAAATACCCTCCCAGCTTAGATAATACAGGGGCTTGGGAGCCTGTCAGCAGCAGCAGCAGAGCTGATCAACCCAAGAGGACAAACAGTTGCCCTTTGTGTTCTCCTCAAGTTGCCCCACCGTTCTCCTAAGCAGAGTGCCTCCTCTTGTTGTTGTGCGTCACAGGTTTCGACAGCGTTGGCTTGATGGGATCCAGGCGAGTGACAAAGTGATGGTCTGAGGACTCGCATTCACAGAGGTGCTCGCGCGTGGAATGTTGCGCTGGTCGGTGCACCTAGAAGGAGGGCCGCGGAGAGTCAACCATGCTGCTGTGGCGGTGGGGCACAAGGTGTACTCCTTTGGGGGCTACTGCTCCGGGGAGGACTATGAGACCCTCCGTCAGATTGATGTGCATGTCTTCAACACAGGTAGGTGGTGGTGCATTGATTTAGGGGGTTCCCAATGGTTGTGGGTATTTTGGAAAATGTGACAGATGAAATCTTAAAATCATCTTTTGTTTTTATTGACAGTGAGTGCAAATATTGTGGGACAACATCAGTAAATACAATTGGCAGGTCCCAAGAGCACTCCGACTTGTTAATGGAAGGGTGTTCATCAGGACCACACGAGAACCCCAGTTTACGTATTTTTATAAAATGGTCTTATCTGCTTTTGGTTTGTTTGTATGCTCAGTAGGTGAAAAGGCATTTTGCTTTTATGCCCTCCGTTCTAACTGTAATGACGCAGGAACATATTTGTCAATATTGTCAAATTATGAAGTAAGAATGAAAGTGTTGAACCTTCACCACTTTTAACGATAACTCAGTACAGCTGGCATTGAGACTCTAAGCTTTCCAGTGCGGTTTGTGTTGACTGTTTTTTTCCGTTGCCACCTCACAAACACAGGTGTTTTCCTTAAATGTGCCGCTCTAACTTTTATAAAACTTGCTCCCTTTTCTTATTTGTAACCTATTTTATATACATGTTTTCCTCTGTGTGGTCAGCCACCTGCTTTAGGGTTTTACTACTTCCAAAAGTAGCTTGAGCCTACTTGCCGATGCTGTACCATAAAAAAATAAACCTTGATGAAGATGCCTCTGGCTGATTGAAATAGAAACGACACCACCGTAGCCATTGTTCAGTATTTTATCTCCTCTTTGAAGTCAGCGGAGCCGGCTGTCTGCTGAAGTCCTTTGATTTTTTATTTTTTTTTCCTCCTCTTTCTATATTTGAAGATATTTTACTTTTCACTTTCCGTTTTGAGACTCTCAAAATAAGTAACAAGTTATCTGTGTAATATGCAGTTTTGGATGTCAAGCTGATGTTTCACACTACGTTACGTCTTTTCATACTATACAGAACGTTTAATGAACACTGGTATTTCAAACAGCTGGAAGAGCTTTGTGAAATATCAATGCTGACCTATAGCTTAGCTTCAAAAGTAAATATCTTGCATATGCATCTCCCAAATGATTTCCTAATTATTATTGCTGCTTTATTACTTTTTTAAATCTTTTAAAAATGTATCTTGAACATGGCTATCTGAAAATGACTATTATACTGTAGCATGTGATTAAAGTGACATTTACGTCTTGATTTAATATTATAAATATATTTTCTTATAATTCCTTCGGGCAAAATGTTCCTGCACTTTAAGGTTGTCATTTATAAAACATCCACAAACATAAAACAAAATACAATTCAACAAATTCCAACTGTTGTTTGGTACTTCAGTATCTCTGCGCTGGATGAAGTTGCCTCCGGTGAGGCTCGGAGGAGGACACGAACGTGTCCGTGAAGTGCCATATATGCGTTATGGCCACACCGCTGTGCTGCTGGATGACATCATCTACCTCTGGGGGGGTCGTAACGACACAGAGGGGGCCTGCAACGTGCTTTACGCCTTCGACGTCAGTAAGTGGACCTGCATCTAACTCGCACCGTTAAGTGATAGCTTGAGGCTGCGTTTGCCCTTTTGATCAGCACCTGTTCGATGCTAACCTCGTGATAGCATCACGGAGAGAAAACGTTTTTTTTTTACAGCAGGGAGCTGTGCACATGACTCAAGCATTTTGTCCGTGAGATAAGAGGTTGGGTGCTAAGAGTTGATATAAAGTGTTCCTGCTTCACAGACACCCACAGATGGTTCACGCCCAAGATTTCGGGGACTGTCCCAGGGGCGAGGGACGGCCACTCCTCCTGCGTCCTGGGGAAGGCAATGTATATATTTGGAGGATACGAGCAGCTGGTGAGTCTTCGTCACTCTTCACTGTTGGGACTCGCTCTCTGAACATCAAGACATGATTCAATTAATCTCCTCTGCTGTTTCTTAGGCCGACTGCTTCTCCAATGACATCCACAAGCTGGACACCATCGCCATGGTTTGGTCATTAATTAATGCCAGAGTGAGTTAAAACCACCAGTTGGTAATTCCTAAAAAAAACACTTTTTTTTTGTTCTTCCTGTAAAGAGAATTTCGTGCGTTGAATATTCAAGCCCAAAGAAAGAGGAGCACAAAGCACTCACTCCAAGAAACCCGATAGAATGGACTGGCAACATACTCGGTTACATTCAGAGCACTGTTTGAATCAACAAACCATCGGTCATTACGGGGGTTGGCAGTACTGCTACACAGGCACTCAGTGGTCAGATTGGCTGGATACAAAGGCACTGAAATGTAATGCAGCTCCCTGGTAGGTGGCCAAGTACAGAAAGCCTCACAGAGGATTATATACACTCCCCTTTTGGGAAATGCCATTTGTGTTTGTATGGAGTCGGTCTGATCACGTGATGAACTCTTCTTAAGTATACGTTAGACGTAGACACCGGGGCCTAGTTTTAGTTCCTAACTGATAACATTTCGTCATCAAGGAGGTTACAGATTTAGTTGTGCATGTGACTGAATAATACATTTGCTTTGCATTCCTTTTGGTAAATGAAACAACCTGCTGATGCTTTTTCTCAAAAAAGAAAGTGGTCTCTTCTTAATACTAAATAACTTTATTTCACTCATTTAAAATGTTCACTAGTCTGGTATCCTCAACATTATTTGTATAATCTGTTTGTTTTCCGGTTTTCTTTCTCTCCCACTGCTCCGTTTGTAAAACGAGTTAGAGAGCCTCCTGCTGGCCTGCGTAGCATTTGTGGAAAACAATGGCAGCCCGTTCTTGAAAGGCTTCACCGCGGCTACAGGCCAGCTAAATGCATAGGGAGTAGAGGCTTAGGCTGTTTCATACCCTGGAAATGGATCGCGTTTCACTTTTGCCACCTTTATATTCATAGTTCTCTTGGAACCAGTGATGGTAACAACCACATCACTATTCTGAGATCAGTGTTCCCCACTAATCTTCATACAATGTCTTTATTACTGTACATCGTTTTTTTTTTTAAAGGCTGGTGGTTCCTGAAAAGCGTTTTTGTTTTCGAGTGGCTATGTAGTTGTGTGACTTATTCCACTAGATGGCGCAGTTTACCTACAGCTGCTTGTTCACTGAGCCTCACCTCTTGCCAGTGTGACAATAGAGCTTTACACCCAGGGTCATGATGATGAGCTTTGGAAGTTCAGAGACATCGGAGAGTTTTAAACTAAAACTAAGTTTATGAGGTCGGTCCTGAGCCGACTGCTTTATGGTCTGTTGCGCTACTGAAACCTTTGATGGAGTGTAAAAGTATAACAGTCACGCATCATCTTCTCTTCACAGGGCACTCCGGCGCGCTGGAGGGACTTCCACTCGGCCACCATCATTGGGACAAAGATGTTTGTGTTTGGAGGGCGGGCGGACCGCTTCGGTCCCTTCCACTCCAACAACGAGATCTACTGCAACAAGATCAAAGTGTTCGATACACAGACCAACTGCTGGCTGAGCACGCCTTCAACACAGCCATTGCCAGATGGACGCAGGAGCCATTCAGCCTGTAAGACAAACACACACATCAAATCAATATGGTGAACAGATTCATGATTTGTGAAGCTCTTTTAAATGCTTGTATTGTATTTCGGTAGACCAGTATCCTAAATGACTTTTATTCTGTCCTCTCAATGAGTTTAGAGATGAGAACTGTGAGTCACAATAGCTCAACATTTCAGAATAAATTCTGGTTGTTAGGAAACATCTCATCCTTTTCTCTTAGCGAGGCTGATGAACTGACACTTATCATTATGTTTTCAAGAGGAAGAACTTATGGAATCAAATTGTTCTAATTTATTTTGTGATGATTCATGTGTGTGTAAACTGCAATCATTTCCCAGTGTGACCTTTCTCTGTTTCATTCTCAAGCATGATTAGTTTTTTTAGATTGTTTTTGTAGTGAGAATATAAACAGTATTCATAGTTCATTTTCATTCATTTCGGACAAGATTGCATGTTTCCCCCACATTGATGAAACAAATCCCACTAATTGAACTGATGCACATGGTTCATTTCCTGCAAATGTCTTGACCTGCATGATGGACAATACAAACTGGTAATTTTGTGTTGTTTTCCTTCCTGTGTTTAGTTTCCTACAATGGGGAGCTGTATATATTTGGAGGATACAACGCCCGTCTGGACCGGCACTTCAACGACCTCTGGAAATTCAATCCAGGTGATTCACCATTTTTATGTCCGACTGGGAAAACGTGTCACGTTGCTGTTACTTGTGTTTCTCTGCTTCGTGCATAATAAATTAGTTTTGATCTACCTGCATTGATGACTGTTTACCTCTGTAGAGGAAATGTAGCACCGGAGGTGCCATCTCGTGTTGACCCACTTCCCTCCTCCTCCGTCATCTGTAGAGACTCATGTAGACAATGCTCTCCTCCCTCATTGCATCACTGTCAGTCCGATAGTGGCTGGCTGCTCCCTTTTCACTCTGCCGAATGAGAAACACACATGGCCCTTTTTTTGCCAGAAACGCACAGATTAAAAACGGATAATAAATCAGTCCCTGTCTGCAGATTGATTCTCAAGTTGTTTTCCGAAATGGAGACCTTGAAAGAGCATTCTTGACACAGCTGTTGTCACACTGTCTGTGTGTGATCGATAGTGAAACTGGGTGATTTGCTGTAAACAATGGAAAGCTGTGCTTTGCAGTCCACTAGATGGCAGCACCTCAGTTATAATCCTAATTATTCAACAAAGTCTGAATGGCCTGTTGCTATAGAGATGCAATGATGCTGTTGGCTCTGAGAGTGAGAGACTTATCACATTTCATCCTTATATGGAGCAACGGGGAGAGCTCCAACATCGTCACTGGTGTTGCACTTCTGCCGAGCAGAAGAGAGGATTAGCTTCTATTTCTGAAACCTAAAGTTTTCTGTTCAAGTGAATGTTAGGTTTTGTGTTCTTGCTTTAATCGCTCCTTTTCATCCCCACACCCCTGGGCCTTGTGTTTGTGGTTAAATATAGCAGGAAGCTGAATGAACTGCAGGCAATAAAGGAAGCACTAGTAGGTTTATGTAACTTTGACGTGCTACGATGTCACCCTCACCGCAACCCTCTTTTGAGCTATTTAAGGCAAGGCTGTAATTTAAAGTTACTGAGAGTCTTCCCTCTTGATTCAGTCTTCTTTTCCCATCATTATGTCTAAATATTGTCAACTCAACTCTACTCCTGTGTTGTGTGTACACACTATAGAAGCCTTTTCCTGGACGAAGGTAGAGCCGAAGGGGAAAGGCCCGTGTCCGCGGAGACGGCAGTGCTGTTGTATGGTTGGAGATCGAATCATCCTCTTTGGAGGAACCAGGTGAGGCACAAAATATTACTCCTTGAACTGTCATTTTTCTACACACACACACACACACACACTAGTTTTGTATCTAAAGGGTTTATAATTACTCTGTGAGGAAGGATGTTCCCAAATATTTTCTCAGTTGGGTTATTTGGTCGTTCTTTATTAAGTGATGTATTAGTTATTTAAAAAAATATACCAGGAGTTGTATATAGTTTTTAACTTAAGAATATGAATATATTTACATGTAGCGGGAAAACAGTTAATTTAATGTGCCCTGGTTTTTAATACATTTAGCAAATATAGGTCTTTAACAAGAGTAAAACACAAAGTTTGCAGGCCTGCATGCACTTACACACTCGCATATACTGCAGTATATTTTGATATGCATATATACGCATGTAAAAACGTGTAGGGGGAAACAATTGTAATTTGGATTAGCAATCATAGATCCCTCTGTTGAATTGTTCAGTGTTCAAATATATTCATATTCTTTTCTGGTCGGTCTGTATCCATTTCCCAAAGAGCAGTGCTTACTAAAAGCTTAAGCTGACAACACAGGATAATAAATCGCTGTGTGCCAGCTGAGCCATTGTTTTCTCATAAAGACAGCAGTGCCTCTCAGCTAAATGATGAATGTGGCCGACACCACTCGTTATGTGTCGTCTACTTTCAGCTCCTCGGTTGCACAAGTCTTGTGTAGAAAATGATCAGATATCAAGTTTGGATGCATGTCCAACTTATAGACAACCGATGGTGTATCACAGTTAACAACAGGGTCTTTATTGCAAACTTTAGCTTGTTGTTGATGCATCCAGGTGCTTGTAGGAAGACATTTATCCTCATTAAAAACATTTTGTATGCTTTAGGAAAACATAACTGCTGGTTATACCTCAAAACTAGTGTTGCAAAGCTGCAATAACTGACTGTAGGAGCAATACTAATGTGTCCAACCAGTTCTAAAGGTGACACAGCATTTCTATTAGCATCCAAGCTCCGACTTTGGAATCTGCAACGTCTTCTGCTAACCCTGACTTGTTTGACTACATACTTGCCGGCCAGACCTCTGGCCATGACTGTGCTCTTTGCCAGATGTTTTGCATGTATTCACACTCTCACTGCTTCATAGAAAATGCCAGATTCTGAGAAATGATATAGACACTGGAGCCGGCATATTAAACGCCAAGCTACTAGTTTTTCAGCGGCAGGCTATTTTCAAAGATGTGCAAAGATATTTAATCAAGGTCAAGTGGTTGTTCTATTAAGGACTATCTCTGACGGATAAAAGGAAAAGCTGAACAGTTTACAATAAATAGAAGAAAAACACGTAAATTCAGATGTTGGTTCGAGACGGGAACGTTTCCAACTCCTTTCTTTTCAGGCACTTCAATTCTTACACTCTTGCCTCATTGTTGTTTGTCATCCTAATCTGTGTGAAGCACAAGCTCTCAATAAACAAGCACAACAAAAACTTTCCTCTCTTGTTCAATATGCCAAATGGAGGCTCTGGCTCCTGCAGACGGCAGCCTGTGATGATTCCCTTGTTGGCCGTAAGACGGCAGTGATTGCCGGGGGTTCGTAGCTGGTAAGGTGCCACTGGGTTGGCGACGGGCTTGTGATAGGCCAGTAGCCAGTGGAGTAATGAGGTAGCTAACGGCATTAACATGGTCCAGAGTAGTCCGGGACCTGAGCTACTGTTATCAGGCAAGGCTGCGTTATCAGGCAAACCCCGCTGGGATAACCTGATAGTGGGGATCGGGAGGCTGTGGATAAGAGTCCTCTCAGCCCCACTACGTCTACAGGCCCTCGAGTCCTAAAGGCCTCTGGCTGCTGCTGGGTTCGCTTTTTCTACCGCTCCATTGGCCACCGCATCATCGGGGAGCACACCATAATACACAAGTGTAATCTTGATTCATCCATTATGCAGCAGCGTTAGTGCAAAGCTGCCATTCTTACTGCACTCCAGCAGATCTGTTTTTAAAGGCTACCTTTCATATTAGAATTAGTCATTTCAATTTAAAAAATAAACTAAATCTGCTGCTTGTAAACGGAAGCAATCAAAAGTCAGCAAAGTTATTGATATGAAACTTAAAAAAAAAAAAAGTTTATACAAGAGCTTTAGAAGACGCCTGTTGTTCAAAGATTGTTACGAATTGTTTGGTTTCTCGCCAAGATTAGTCCAGGAGGGGTTTTAAGGAGTCATGACTTCCTGTTGTGAGCAGATCGTGTCTTTGGTGCCACTGGAATGATGGAGGGTGCTGGCTGAGTAGAGGAAGAAATCAAACGCAGTATCTCCAACATCCTGTTTCAAAGGATCAGGGTTGTTGTTTTTTAGAGGCCAATGCAACTTTGAAGTTGTTATCATATATTCATGAATGTACACAAAGTATCTTTATAAAGGTAGAACCTTGGTTTGTTTGTGTTACTTGTAAAGTAGGTTGCTCAGTTGTTCTAAGTCTGCCGAGATGTTTCCTGTTACTGTACAAATTGGAGCGTGATCCTCGCAGGCTCGAAGCAAGTCGGCCACACAGGTTCTCTTGACCAGCGGTGCACGTTTGTTGTTTACACGAGTGCAGCTAAGCCTCTTACACACAGGAACTCCCATAAGCACGCGCACACACAACCTAAGACACACAAACAGACTCCAAGCAGCTTCTCATCACACTCATTTGTTTGCTTTCTTCTCTGTGCCAAGAAGTTAACATTCACTTTGTGTTTCGATTTCCGATTTCCGATTTGACTAAGCAAGTATTTTTTTCAATACACGCCTCTAATTTAGTGTAAACAATACGTTAATAACCAGCCAATTGCTGTGTCTCCTGTGTTTATCTTTACATGACCCGACAACACGAGGGCGTTTAAAAAGTTATCGTCGTCTGTCTCAGTGCAACTGACAAATGCTCGCACGTGCCCCATGAATTATTCGCTGGACACCTTGCTTGTGTTTTCTTGTGGGGCTTCTCGTTTCGGAAGGTCTGCCGAGGAAATTGTGTTCAAATTTATGGTCCACACTTTGTTTTCCTGGGTTAGTTGTCCTTTCGTATTGATCCAAAACAGAACCCTTCTGTTGATACTTTTTTTTTTCCAGTTTATGATATTTATTTTACCTGCAGGAATTTGTTCAGGCATAATTTATTACTTTAGTGAAGGACACTAAAGCTATTAAGTCCGAGAGCCCTCTGCTTTCAAAGGGGGGGTACACTTTGGACTGGACATAACACTGAGGTGTGTTAACACAACATCAACGACGGGATATATACTAATGAATAAAAAGAGACTGGTGCGAAACAGGAGGCTATGAGTGCAACCTTCCAGTGTTTAGCATTAGCAGATGCTTGGATTTAGATTGAATGAGCCTTTATGATGTTTGCATTGGATTTCTCTTTTTTTGACACCGTTAAATTGGATAAGGTGCATTATATTCTTTGTTCTGTAAGTATGTTTTTCAGTACACACTTGCACGAGTTTGCGTGTGTGAATGACGGACTGGGCATTAGTGGCATTAGTGGCAGTCTATTGAGTGCCACTTACGTCAGTGTAAACAGGCCTGCTGAGCTGCAGAAAGGCGCGAAATTCTGCCCCATCTCTGATTTATGACCTTAGGGAGCATTCTTTCTCACAGGGTGCAATTTGATACACTCCCAGCGCCTCTGCTACACTCATTTACGGAGACCTGCTCACTGCCCCGCGAAGGACGCCCCCCGTGCATGACTAACTCCACCTGCACTGACCTTCACCTATACGCACACAGGCAAAGAGCAGCGCACTCTGCAAAACCCCGCGCGTTTCTGCTTCCCCCCCCCCCCCAACCTCCTGAGGAATTGAACAAGCTAAAATTGAGTTGCCACAGAGATTACTGATCTCCTGCTGAGAGTATGTTGTCATTGTTGGCATTTGTCACACTCCGTGTGTAATTGCTTACGACAAGCCCAGGTCGGGCTAAATCTGGATGCATTTTAAGCTCGGGAACAGGGCATCCTATGAGGGGCAGGATATGAACAAGGACATGACAGATTGGCATGCTGGGAGCAGACAGCTTGGAATCTGCGAAGGGGAATCTGGCACTGGCCCTTGAACTACTTGGACATAGTACGTGTATTCATTCCATTATGTTTTTCTGATATATATTTTTTGCCGTGACACGACTGATTTAAATCACCTCTTTGTGTTCCATTGCTGCTCTGTGATTAAAGGATTTGCCTTTTTGTCATTTGGTAAATGTTGAAATGGAAAATATCCCAGTGGTTTGCAGAATTGAGATTTTGTGCCCTTTTTAGCCCTTCAGCACCTTTTATGTGGACTGCTGATAATGAGAGTTCTTCAAAGGGGTTTTAATTGCCTTTCACTGTGAGTAGCAGAGACCATTGGCTGTCAGTTTAGGTCTAACAATGCCAAAGTGGCCTTGTTCTATGAATAAGTGTCTTTGATGTCATCACTGTGCTTCGGCAGACCCAGATAAGGTCTGTGATTACGTTGGGCAATTGGATGAGTACATCGCTGCTTATTTTCTTTTTTTTTTTCTGGCACATTTTCGCATCTAAGCCGATAAATGAATGGTTTATTTCGACCAAACCAGAGTTGGTTATTTCTGGAAAGACTAACCAAGCAATTTTGGTTCTACTTTATTTCTGTTTTTATGATGCTCTGCCGCTCGATCAGCGGATCTCCCAGCTGAAACTATGGTTGGGGAGGGGGAGCAGTTATAGTGCTGCACACACACACCTGTGCGAATATATTGGCGGTTGTTGGGCTGACGGTAGCTGGTACCCTCGTCTCTGACGCTTATGTAATCCAATGACATAAGAAACCAAGTCCTCATCTAAAATGGGTGTTTCCCCCAATGTGTGTTTTTCGGCATCTTCCCAAAACGAGAAACTATGGTAGGATTTTTACGGCCCTAAAGTATCACAATGCCCTGTGATTCACTATCCCTGGATCAGAATTTCAGTCAACTTGTATGTCACCGCTGAGATTTCCTACTTCCGGTGTAGTGTGCCATTTGTGTGTGTTTTGTA